TGTGTGTGTGTGTGTGTGTGTGTGTGTGTGTGTGTGTGTGTGTGTGTGTGTGTGTGTGTGTGTGTGTGTGTGTGTGTGTGTTTGTGTGTGTGTGTAAGTGTGTCTGCGTGTTTTGAATTTTCACCACAACAGCCCCTATTCCACGCAGATGAGCAGATCCAAAATCAAAGCATATTCAATCCTATTACAGTCAAGGAAAGCCCTTGAGTTGAGACAATCCAACAATGAAACAGTTTCACCTCTATAGCAAGCAACATGAAGTACAATAGACTCGATAGAGGCATGTCAACCCCTTTCTTAATTGTGTTCACATTTGCTTTCTTCGGGGCAGCTCCCCCTTTATCGTGCCTCTCATGCAAACGGCTCGCCACGTTGATATTGGTTGAGCGTGAGCTGCCCACATCCCCGTGTGCCATAACGGCCCACTTGTACACTATGAAAGGAGGCAGAGCAAAGGCGGGGGTATATTCCTGTTCATTTCTTCTCAGATCTTCAACTTATATTTTGTCTGTTCTCTTAATGACGCTCATTCGTATGTATTACTAGTAATACAGGAGAGGAGGGAGGGAGGAAATGGGAGATGGAGTTCTTATAGGGTTCTAAACAGTGACCGCTGGGGTGGACCACTCTAGAATCACACGAGGCCAGTCAGTGTGTGGGCTGCATAGATTTGAGGAGGAATCGTTGCCTATGGTAAGTGCCTACGGTAAGTGGCTACCTATACAGCCCGGTCAGGATCGGTTTGGATGTGGCCTGTGGAAGCACCGCATCCAGTTCTCGCAGTCACAGTTACTACAAATGGCACAACGTAGACAGATGACACAGTCTACGTGGCTCCTACATGCTAGGAACGCAGAGGCACGCCGACCACACTTGTAGAGTCATTGTCGTTCCAGCCCCTGTTTACAAATTGGACATGTGCCAGGGTGCCGTACATGAGTGCAGTGTAGGCTGTCATCATACGTACGAAGACAAAATCTCGCCCGGGCTATCCCTTCATAATCCTCGCGGCATAAGGCATGCGACCCCATGCGAGCTGAATCTTCGGTGGGTCATCACAAAGCGCCATGGAGCAAGTTTCTTGGGTTTCCTCAATATTTAATTCCTTCTCGAATCTCTATGGGTAGACGACAACAGGGGAGATTGATCCAAAAGCAAGGGTGTTTAGCTACTGCAGGATTTGGTCTGCAGCAGCTTGTCCTGGTGGAGACAACCCATCAGTACAGCGCTCTGTAGGTGACTCATATGGTAATCTATTTTCGTCCTCAGGCTGCTGTGTTTGTCGTTCGCCAAGCAAGGAAGAAGGAATTCCGACTGCGGTTGCAGTAGGTCTATGACCAACGCCACATGTAGGACATGCTAAGAGAGGATGGCCGGACTGCGGAAACGAGAACCCCAAGATACTGCTACAACCCATATGCCTACACGCTACCAAGGGAGAGCCCAAGTCGAGAGGGCTAGCTAATGCAGGGAGACCATCATGCGACACACAAGGTAATATACCGAAAATATAAGGGGATATCGTGATTTTGGCACGTCAACAATAGGTGAGAGTGTTGAAGTAGTCGAAGCCACAAAAATCCTGTAGTCAAACGTTGACGTTGGGTTCAAAACATTGACATCCTAAAGTGGCAATGCTAAAGGGGTACCTGAAAGTGTGAGCCAACGTAAGGAAAGCGAAGGGAGTAGATGGTCGGTCATCAAAACACATTGGGGATGGCGAGAGCACTCTCAACAAGAAAAAATGTTTGTCTACTATTGAAGAATCGCCACAGAGGGAGCAAACACGTTCACAACAATATCTTGAGCCAGGTTAAAAGGAATAGGGTCAGTCAGTTGAGCAGGAGCAGACATCTCAACACGATGAACACAATCATATATACGTATAGAAATCTCGTCGTGCTTTAAGCGCTCGAGGGACTCTCACGTAGCCTCCGTAGGATAGCCCTTCCAATGCACAAGGTACTCGATGCATGGAGAGGTATCGTTGATAACTTGGCGAGATATGATGTCAAAAATGATGAATTCCTCGTGACTATCGACCATAATAGGTGGAGGGCGCTAATAAGGGCGTCCAACTAATCACTTGGACGTCTGTCATGAGGACACAACAAGGAGACATAGTAAAAATTTGTGTACGTGAGTCTACTGAAGATAGTCAGACAACTTCACGCGGAAGATAACGGGTCTATCAACAATATCATGCATGATGGCCTAAAGGATGTGACATGAGTCGAAGAAGTGACTCGTAAATTTGCAAAGCATATCCGCTTCCAACTGCCAGTGGCAGACGTTGACAAGCATATTATCACCGACTTTGAATAGATGATTCATTCACGATCGGTTGGCTCGTGCGGCCATCCGGGTTTGGGAGGCGCTCGCAGTAAAAAATATTCGTGCAATCCACTCGTGAACCATTGGGCATCTAGTGTTTCGGTGCAACTACGACGGGCGGAGAAAGTCCACGGACACTTGAGGTTGATAGTTGAGATTGAGATACTATGGCGACATCCCTGTTGCTTGTGAAATGACGTCATTGTATGCAATCTCGGCGTGGGCTAAGTGCAACTCTCACTGTCGATCATGAACGACAAACTTTATGGGGATATTAACGAGAGTTTGTCGGTGTCCTGAATCTAACCATCCGTCTAAGGGTGGTGAGACGACGAGAAGCGGAGCTGAGAACTATCAACATCGTGTAACCATCGGTAGAACGTGCTGGTAAAGCATTGATCAGGATAAAAAATGATGCTTTGAGGTAGACCGTTGTCCCTCTCGATTCGCTCGGGGACGTCTCATCAGTTCCATGGCCATAGCGACACGAGAGAAAATGTTTGCACTTCTCGAAGCAATCGACGACGACGATTAAGATAGCATCATGACCATGCTCTGTAGGATGGTGGTAGGGGCTGACAAAGTCCACTGAGATGGACTGCCAACAGTCCTAAAGTATGGGTAGAGGTTGGAGAAACCCCACACACCTCACAACCACACAACCGTACTGAACTTTCTACGCTAGTTACTGCGTGCACACTTCTAATCCAAAAATCGACCGCGCAACCTATGACCTGCCATGCAGATACCTAACCAATAGGCTGGGTGGGTTGGGGTGAATGTGAAGCAGTAACGTGGTCCCCTACCCCAGGACAGCCTGGAGGTAGACAGTGAATGCACGTACTAGACCATTGCGCACTTTTGGCAAAGACAACGCCCCTCTCTCCTTTGCATGTGGATCCCCTGATTGAACCTCTTCCATTCCTAGGTTCAACCACTACACTTCCTCCTCTGAACCCACAATGAGCCTCCGGGTTTGGTGAAGGGCTTGTGGGCAACTTGGTCCAAACCTGCTGGAGGTGCAGTGCCTGTATCGCAAGAAGACAAAAAGTGGGACAAACCTGGGATGCAGTTTCAGTGGTAGGCAGGACTCTGCGGTGTATACAGATGCAGATTTCCAATCCAAAGCCTCACCTGGTCAATCTTTTGGCCTTCAAGTTTCAACGGATGAATCTGCACCGCCTCCTAGATTTCTAGTGGGTATGTTTCGGACAGGAGGGATTGATGGTTGGTCTAAGCTATCCTTCACTGCCTGCACATCAAGACCGTTGGAGGATAGAATAGTTTGCTCCGGCCCCACTTGTCATGAACCCTCTCTGCCACCACCTGCACAGGAAGGCCAGTGCAGCGATTGCCTGCGTCTGACAAATCTGACAGAAAAATTCATGACTAGAACTCGCCAATGCTGCGAGAAGCCAACCTAACAACTGACAGTCCCCACCACAAGGCAATCTTTGTCCGAAGCCAAACTTCCAACCCTGCTGTCCACTTTCTCCAACATCACTATAATTTGGCAAGCATTCCATATGTAGGGACTCCCTTCTTTTTCTTTTTTCTTTTTTTTTATTATTTAAAGCGCAGGGGCCATGCTAATTTTATCTGTATCGTTCCAATTCTAACGGATGTCCCGAAGGGCAACTCCCTTCCTTTTTCTGTTTTTCCTTTTTCCTTCTTTTTTGTCAGTTTACAAAGCACCGGCCAAAGGATATTATCAACACGCCATCGACCAAAGAAAGGAGCCATCACGGCCCATCAGTCAACACAGCAAGGGTCCAACTTTTATTTTCCGCGGGGTTCCCTCGTCTGATTGGTAGGATGTTTTGCCTGTGGGTTCTAGAGGCTGCCAAGAACATCAGAGTTTTCACACACAAAAAATAGAAGACAG